GCGCGGGGACGGCGTCGCCGCGGTAGCCCCCTCCTCGAGGCGCCGTGCCCTGCGCGGGGTGCTCGCAGAGGAGGGAACGGAGCGGGCCCCTCCAGAGAAGGCGGGCGAGGCGTTTCTTTCCCACCAAAATTGGGCAGAAGGCGTTTTCCTCGTCGATCTCCCGACGGGGTTTTGGGGAGGAAGGTTGGTCGGGGCAACCCTCGCTTCACCGAATCATAGAACGGTTGGGTTTAGAGGGGACCTTGTCTAGATCGTCTCGTTCCAACCCCCCTGCCGTGGGCAGGGACACCGTGGGGGACACCAGGGACTTCCCCGCAGCAGGGCAGCGGGCCGGGCTGTGCCTTTGGCTTTGCTGGGCTGGTTCCCAGCTGCCGGGAGCCACAGTTCCCCATCCCCGGGGCCACCGGCAGCGCTCGGCGTGCGGTGACAGGCCTCTCGGCGTGGACTACAAATCCCAGTAGCGCTGCCTGCGCTGCCTGCGGGGAAGCTTTTACTGTAAACAGAATGAATCCGGGCCAGACCCCGGGGTCAGCGCCTTCCTCTCCTCTAAAATAACTGGGAGGAGGAGGAGGAAGAGGAGGAGGAGGGATACAGACGCCAGCAGAGCCTCTCCCGAGGCGGCCGAGCTCCTCCCAGCGTGCCGCGCCGCTTTCCCCGCTCACCGGCTCCTCTCTCTCGCCCTCCCGGGGACCCGCAGCAGCCATTTGGAGGAAGTCAGGGGAAGATCGGAGACGGTGGCGGAAGGCGGAGGGGAAGGAGAGCCGCCGCCCCGCGCTCTCCCCGGAGCTGATGTCCTCTCCCCTCGCCGGGCGGCCCCAAGGGGAGCCATGTCTGCAGGGGGAGCGCCCCAGGTACGCGCGGGTTTCGGGGGGGGGAAGCAGCTTCTCCGTCCCTGGGGAAAGGCCGGAGCGGGACCAGCTCTGACCACGTCCCTCTGCGGCAGAGCGGAGCTGCCGGGGCAGCCAGGAGGAACCCCTCTTTCATCCCGTGACATTTTTGTTGGGGGGGGGAGGGGCTTTTGGGGTTTTCCCAGGGGCTGGGAGCTCTTCTGGTGCTTTTTTCCTCGTCATTTAGAAATACCAACGCCCGATGAGCTGCGTGAGGCCCCTGCAAGACTTTTTCTTTTAAATTGGCGCTTCTTAAAGTTACGGCAGCGCGGGCTGGGCTCCGTGTCTTCTGCCATCTGCTCTCCTTGCGCTCCTGCCAAGCTACGGAGGGGTTTTGAGGGAAGAAGAGAGGAATCCTGGGGCGGATTGGGTGTCGAGCTTCCCGGGAGAAGCTGCTCTGGCTCCTTACAGAGATTTCCTCCTTCGGTCCTGATTCTGGCCGGGTCGGGAGTGGGGTTGGGTGGTCACACCCAGGCGAGGGATCTGCTTGGGAACCAAGTGATCTCGTTAGAGGGGGCGGTGAGCGTGTGGCTTCAGCCCTTTGTGAGCTCCGCTCGAGCGTTTCTGCCAAGCGATGCTCTCGCTGACGAGGAAACTGAGGCACGGAGGAGAAACAGCTTTTCCTGTGCCGAAACAAGTTGGTGGCAAAGCAGGAGGTGTCACCATGAGCCCCTGTCCTGCTTTCCCGCACCTCTGCCCGCCTGCTCTGCCCGCATCCCACTGCTCCCGCTCCTTTCCTGAAGGATTGGAGCTGCCTTTCGACCCACCGCGTGCCGGGGCTCGGGGGCAACAGTGCCCGGCGTTGCGCCTGGTCTGCCGGGCAGAACCAACGCTTCCATCCACCTCCTCCTGTGCCAGAACAGCTTTTCCCAGCCCTCCCCAGGGAAAAGGGGCTGTGATTTCTACCAGCAGCGCTGCCGTAGATCCAGAGTCAAAGAGGAACACCTTGGTGGTGATCCCGCTGAGCCAGGACCCCTCGAGGGCTCCCCGAGGGACCGGGTTTGTCAAATGTCACCCCCGGGAAAGGCACACGCCTCACCGTGGGGCACGTCTCGCTGCTGGTGGCCTGTGGGCGCTGATCCGAAAGCCCATCGCCCGTCCTTTGGATCGTTGAAGTTCAAAGAGACCCTTAAGACCATGGAGTCCACCCGTTACCCCAGCCCTGCCCAGCCCACCACTAACCCACGTCCCTCAGCACCGCGGCTACGCGGCTTTTAAATCCCCCCAGGGACGGCGACTCCACCACTGCCCTGGGCAGCCTGTGCCACTGCTTCACAACCCTTTTGGGGACGATTTTACTCCACATCTCCATCCTAAACCTCCCCTGGGGCAACCTGAGGCCATTCCCTCTTGTCCCATCGCCTGTTCCTTGGGAGCAGAGACCGCCCCCCCTCGCTACCCCCTCCTTTCAGGGAGCTGTCGAGAGCAAGGTCTCCCCTCAGCTCCTCTTCTCCAGGCTGAACACCCCCAGGGCCCTCAGCCGCTCTTCACGGGACGTGTCCTCCAGACCCCTCACAGCTCCGCTGCCCTTCTCTGGACACACTCCAACACCTCAATGTCCTTCTTGTCGTGAGGGGCCCAAAACCGAACGCAGCACTCGAGGTGGGGCCTCACCAGTGCCGAGGACAGGGGGACCATCACTTCCCCGGTCCTGCTGGCCAAAAAACCCAAAGAAACACACCCAAAAAAAGGGATGGCGTTCTGCTGAAACGCTTCTCCTCTCTCCTGAACCAGCCTGCCCACGCCCTGAACCTGCTGCCTTACCCCAGGCTGAGCGAGGTGCCGAGAGCCGGACACGAGCTGGATGCTGTCGGTGCGGAGATCCCGTCCGACCCCTGCACAGGTGAGCGCCGAGGACGGCACCGCGCCGGCCAGGCTGCGCCGGCGTGGGAGCGGGGCTTGTGGATGCGCTTGTGTGTTCTCCGGACTACAGCCGGTCCTGCGGTAACACCAAGTCCGACTGACCGCCGGCAACAGTCTCCTCTTGACCGGGGTGGGGGGATTCAAAGATCGTATGTAAATGTATGCAAACGTGGCACCGCTGGGAGGAATCCCCAGCCCGGGGAAGGTCCTTCCGCCCCTCCGCCAGCCCGGTTCCTCTCCTAAAGATGGAGACTCTTCTGCTTGGGAGGCTCAGGTTGGAACTGAAGGCATTTTTGCGGTAGCCTTTGAAATCCGATCATAAAAGCGTTGCGCGGGATCTGAGGGTACCCGGGTGAGTGTGCGAAAGACCACGGCAAGAGTCGTTCTCCGAGGAACGGCCCTCCTTCCCACCTTTCGCCTCGCCGGGAGGAGGGAGCCTGGTGCTGGTATTTCCTTTTATCTTTAATTACACTTCAGGCAGCAGAAGCTTAAAATAGATGAAAGCGATGCCCCCGGGCTTCGTTAATTTTAGCTTCTTTGTGAATGTAACGCAGGCATCTCCAGCGTAACGATGGCGATGCCGAACGCGCGTTTTGCGGTGTGACAGTTCGTGGTGACCAGCTCTTATCCTTCCAACCAGGCTACAGATTTTTCAAGCCGGGCGGTTTGTTCGGTATCAAGCAGTCGGAGGAGCCGTACGCCGAAGGCCAGCAGATGCAGGAGGAGAGCAAGATCCTCGTGAGCCCCTGTGCGGGTAGGTGCTCCCCGCGTCCTGCCGGAGGCTGTGGGAAACCGGCTTTGGCGGGGAATGGTCCTCCTGTGGGTAAAAGGCCATTTTGGGCCAGATTGCAGCTGGTTTGGGGCAGTTAACGGCAAGTTTTTGCTGTCGCTGCTGCAGCCAGCGCTGCCGTTGGCGAGGTGGGGGTGGAGCGGGCTCCGGGAAGGGGTCTGATCCTTTCGGGTGTTATAAACTGCAGTGCTTTAGTTTTAGGTAGCCCTGCGAGGAGCGGGGAGTTGGCCTCGATGATCCTCATGGGTCCCTTCCAACTTGAGATAGGCGGTGATTCTGTGAAAGACTCTCCAATTAACCTCTTGAATCTTTTTGAAATCTAGTGGAGCCCGGTCGAGTGAACAAAGTCGAGCAGCCTGAGGAGAAACCCGGGGGAGCTGC